AAGATTTTGTCACCCTAGACTGGCCGAGTCTAACTGTAGCGAACAGCTCAGGTGTGGGGGAGTCACCCCCGTATAGATCTATACACAAACTTTCGCCCTCCCTCCAGGAGACTCTGGTTATAACTACAGGCTACGGCCGACACTTATTGGTGCCAACCGATAATTCTCACTAAATCCCTATTATTACCCCATGAATTTGAATAACATTGATTACAACCCATTTGATGTTTACATAAATATGAATAAAGCCTAACAAACACGAAAAAGGACAACTATGACCCACTAATCATGTATGTTATTACAGACTGTCGAGTATGCGACGGACACATTAGCCCATCAAGCATATGATAATTGATTTGGACCATATTAGCGATGCAAATGGGCCACGAAGGCCCAATAGCATGTAAGAGCTAGTGAGGGTCCATTAGGCATGTAATTGGGTCACCGGAAGCCCAATAAACATGTGTTGATTATATTGGGCCCAATAATCGTGTAACTGGGTCACCGGAAGCCCAATAAGCGCGAATAAGAAACATTGGGCCCAACCGTCGTATCATTTATAGGTTTATCAATATAAGTTGTGGTATGGGATTTGGTTTACACTTAGTATTTACTTTCGATGTTAAATACTCAATGTTGGTTTGTAACGATATTCTTAGTTTTTATAAAAATATCATTTTTAAACCTTCATGTTGTAAAAATTTATATCTTTGGTCAAATTGTTTATAAATTTACATATTTGGCCCAAAATGTTTATTTGACCATTTCAGTCCCTTTTTCATACAAAATTTACCTTTTCAGCCCTTAATGGTGCAAAATGATACTTTTAGTCCTTTTTGATGAAAAATGACATTTTAGTCCATTTGATTACTTAACTTGGCATTTTCGGCCCAAATAAAATCTTAAATTATAATTTCAGCCCAAAATACAACTTTTGGCATTTTCAACCCTTATTTGTTCAAAACTTGTGTTTATGACTAGTTTGTGGTAAAAATAACATTTTAAACCCATTTTTCTCGAAAATATCATTTTTGGCTTGATTTTTGTGGAAACACACATTTTTCTGGTTTTTGGCTTTTCTGACCAAGTTGTTGGAAAATTTGTAGAAAAATCATCGTAAGTCGAAATTTGGATCCGTAAATTCTAGAAGTTTTTAAATTTTGTCTACTTTGTTCACAATTTTTCTCGTAGTTTTTAATGGTCTCTAACAAGTATGAAATTGCTCACCTTTACAGACTGGTCCGAAATTATATCAAATCTGATAGACAGTTTTATAAAATTCGCCAAAAATTGTAGAAAAATCGTATGAAAACGTGAGAGTAGTCATTTAACTTTTTGCATGTAAAACAGTTTTGAAAAATATTATCATTTAGGTGGTCAAAACAGTTCGAGATTGACCAAAACTTTTCTGTGAAGGGCTGATTTTTTAGTTTAGTTTATAGATCTTTGAACACAACACTCATTTTTACTATTTTGAGTGTATAAATCCCAAATCTACTAGTTTACATGTATTATATATATATAAATACATACATAACCGAGAATGAGAAAAAGGAATAAGAGAGAAGAATTATTTGGGCTAGTATTGAATATACTTGAATTTATAAGGCCCAATTATGGAAGTTTTTCGGCCCATTGAGCCCATATGAGGTTTTACGGCCCAAAAATGTTAAAGGAATTGGTTTACGGCCTAATAAAGCCCAAGAAACCAAGTGAGACATTTTAGGCCCAATATGGCCCAAAATGCTATGGTTTGATGAATGTAGGTCCAACTAAGCCCAAATGAAGTTCCTTGGCCCAAAATAGCTAAATTGAAAGTTTACTGGCCCTTTAGGCCAAATAAGAGGATCCAAATCCATTCTGAGTTTGAATCAGATATTAGGGTTTCAACCCATAATTGAGTATATGAGATGTATTGAATTAGGTTTTGAACTTCACGAGTGAGTTTTAATTCAAATGATTGTTTTTGGAATGAACATTTGTTCATAACATCAACTTAGATTACATGTTACACCAGAGTTGATTAAACGAAGACAGAATTTCCTAGGCAAAACTGCTAGTTGTGACAGAGAGGGGCAACTCTAAGCTCCAAAAACGACATGGAACCAAGGGACTTCATCAATGGGACCAAAAGAGTCCATGAACTCAACCCAAAAGAGATCTAAGAAAATAATCACCAAGTTTGAGACTTTATACCTCAAAAGAGAGCCAAAGGCTGATGAGGTTCTGGATCTAAAGGCTCTAGCTTCTTCAATGAATCTTCAAGAGTGAGCACCTTCTTCAAAATCACCAAAACACTATTCTAATGGTCTTTTAAGCTCCAAGAACACACAAGAAGGTTTAGGGTTTTGTGAAAGTTGTCCAAGGGTGAGAGGGAGGCTGATCTTTGAGGCATTATGTTCTTTATATAGTGTCCATCCCTAAAGTTAGGGTTTTCATTCCGACCCTCGTACGCCCCACGTACCTTCTTGTACGCCCCGCGTACGAGGCTGCGCATCCCGACTCAACCTCGCACCTACGCTGCGCGTTCTTCCCAGCTATGCCTCGCGTAGACCTTTCTCCTCGGTACGCCATGCGTATCACTCGGTACGCCCTGCATACTAGGGTTTTCCCCCAAACCCTAACTCTTCCGAATGCCATAACTCACTCGATACAACCCCGATCTCAACCATCCATATATCCATAGAAAGGCATCGAGACGCTCAACACTATTATCAATTCATACTTACCATCAGATATCCCGAATCTAAAATCCATTTCCCATAAAGCCCGATCGATAAATTATCGAAATACTCTTTTTGCTCCAAGTCACAACCGAATACCCATAACATCCAATATAACATCCACCTCCAAATGAGCCCAATAACTAACTTATTCAAGGATTCTAACCCTACTAATACCCAAACCTTGTTCATCACTTCGAAATGAAAACGTCCTGAAACAGGATGTTACAAATCCCATCTCCTTTTTCCTATCTCCTCTCTCAATTTCTTGCGAGTGTTGGGTGTGAACCATTAGAGGCACGACATTTGTGGTGCTTGCTCTCTAAGCTTCAACAACACAAGGGTTTCTTGTTATTCATCAATAACAATAAAAGGTATGTTTTCTAATCCTAGATGCTAATTTCAAAAATAGTATAGGATTTATAGGGTTTCCCAAATGTTGTTCAAATGTTGTATGTGCAATTAGAGAAAACATAGATCTTCAATTAGGGTTGCATGCACACATAGGTTTTTTGTTTGTTATGCTAAAAAACCCATCAGCTTGTGCCTCTTGAAACCTAGTTTGCGCTTCAATCATTTTTTGTTCCACCCAAATCATAATCTCAACCTTGTTCTCTTGAACTTGCACATATCGATCAAATTTCTCTTCAAAATGATCCATAACACTAGATCCCGTAGACGTCGAACTCGGTTATTTTGCTTTATTTCTTCCAACGGGCCGACAGAGAGGTTGCTTGTTTTCAAGATCGAGTAGATCATCGTTGATGTCGATGTGTGTTCGTCCGCCCGATTGTTTGGAAGTGGCATTCGGGTTTCTTGAACGTATTGAACCAGAAGAGGTTTATGAAGTTCCTTCCGTTTGTTGTATCCATTTTGGAACGTCTTTCAATTTTAGCAACGCTTTCACATACGAAAAAGCTTTGCGGGTTGGCGTTGTTTTTTCAAATTGGCCCAAGGCGGCCTTGAAGACATCCAAATCGTTTGACCCGCTTTTGCGTATATTTTGGAGGTTGTTGTAAATTCCTCAAAATTCCGTGCATTTTAGTAAAATATCGCACAACTTGGAGCTAATTTGATCGGATTTCGAGATTCACTTCCCGTTAACGCATAAAAAAATGCTTCAAACTTTCTCCCAAAAACAGTTGAAGGTTTGATTATCTCATTCAATTGGGTATTGGGAAGCCGAAACCTACGCCTCCGCTAGCTTTTCTTATTCCTCTTTTGTCTGTGGCACCCTTTCTTGGGTAGTAGTGGGTCGAGCCGTTTTTTTTCCTTTCTTCTTTTTTTGTTGAGATGGTGGTGAAGGTTGTGTTTCCGAATTGAAATCCGGCGAATGAGGTGATTGTGATTGTTGTGGTTGTGAAAGTGGTGGTTGTGATGATTGTGGATTAAATTGTTGTTGGAACTGTTGTTGAAAGGCAGGAAAATGTTGATATTGTTGTTGGAAAAGTGATGTTTGTTGGATATGAGAACCGGTTTGAAGCAAATTGGCAAAACCACCTTGAGGTGATTCCATGGTCGAGAATTGGCGATGAGTGGTATCTAACGCAAAGCGTTATCGGGTTTGCGATTTTTAATTTTTTTTTTTCTTTTGGGGGGGGGGGGGGGTTGGTTCGGATCCATTTTTGATGGTTGTGAAAATGTTGTGTGTATTTTGTGTATAGAGAAAGAAAAGAATGGTATAAAAAATGAGGGTTAAAAATTTGGTATTTATAGATATAAAATGTTTGTTTAATTAAAAAAAATAGTCGTTCAACGGCTACATCCCATTCCAAATCGAAGGAGAGGCCTGATTGGCAGTTTGCGTTCGTCGTCCGGAACACGAGCCACAACGACCACACCCGACCACGAATGGCTGGGGTAGTATGCACGGATCGTTTTCGTGGCCACATATACCACGATGTCTCTCGTCGTTGGTATACCATTTGGCCTTATATTGATATAGAAGTAGTTATAAAAGCCGATGTGACAAACAACCTTATAACAAATAATTTTCTTTTGGATAAGTACCATATATTATTTATAAAAAGATAGTTTATGGGTTCATATCAGGTTTGAATATGTAGAGAGATTTTATGTAATGTCCAAATTCGAGTAAAATATTTTTACAAAGATATTTTAAATGTTTAATTTGTACTCACCCTCCTACTACAATATAATAAAATAATATTTAAATAACTAATTAACTATGTTCTTCAAATCGGAGCCGTAGATTAACAAATGACACGTGATATGATTGGGCATCCCACGTGATCCGAAGCCACCAATCAGGTTCAAATGAAAAGCAGGGGCAAAGCCGTCCACTCAAAAGAGCAACTGAAATCGAAAGGAGTTCCCGCCTGCAACCAGAAACAAACCCTCCATCGACTTCAGCTAAATTTTCAAAATTTTCAAAACCCTAAAACCAAATCCCTCTCAAAATCTAACATCTTAAACCCCCATATCCCGCCATTGTCAACCACCTTGCATCTCTTTGTGAACCACACGCTAGATCTACATACTGTGCGAAACATGGCGATTCCTTCGCCTTCATATTCCTTAGCTACGAAAGAACCGGCCTCTGGATCTACTACCTATTGCCGGAAGCAGAAATCTCTCGGTCTTTTATGTTCCAAGTACTACAGTTGTTCTATTGCATGAAACCTTCATTCCGATCTATGAGTTTATAATTTAGCTAATCATGTTCACGTATTGCTGTATATAGTTTCTTGAGCTTGTACAATCGAGATGGAGTTGAAACTGTTGGATTGGACGACGCAGCATCAAGACTAGGTACTTTCACGTTTTGTTTTTTTAGGAATTGTATGCAGTAAATTTACTTTTACACCTTTTGTTGGTTCTTGTGAGAAATTTATAGATCTTGATCTGATATCAAAATACGGGATTTCAGGTGTGGAGAGACGACGGATTTACGATATTGTCAACGTTTTGGAAAGTGTTGGTGTATGATTTCTTCCCTTTTTTATAATTCTATAAAGTTTTATGACAAGAATTTGAGTAAATTTCAGATCTGAGTTCTTGATGTTTCAATTGAATAGGTTCTTGTAAGAAAAGCCAAAAATACGTATTACTGGAAAGGACTTGGAGCAATCCCAAAGGCGTTAGAGGAGCTAAAGGTGATTAGTTTTGTATTCGCATAATCTAATACAAATCCATATATCTTTCATCGAACCTTTTCTTTATCGTTTTACCTAATTGCGTAACAGGAAGAAGGTTTCAGAAACAACGATGAACCGATTGATTGTAAATCTGGAAAGGTAATTACACAATGAATTTACAATTTACTTACCGTCATCCTTTCCATAACCCAACTTCAAAGGAGAACTTGTGAAATGAAATTAGGGTTGTTATTTTTCCTTTTAGGTTTGGGAAGATGATGAAGATGAAAGATTCTCCAATTCTAGTGCTTCCTTCCAGGAAAAAGCAGATCCAGATTCCATGCATAAATCTCTCGGGTTGTTCAAATCAGGTTATTCCATCTGTCATAAACTGCAATCATTACTATTACCCTTTAAATTTTCAATAAAAAATGGATATTTCAAGATTTTGAAAGAATCTTTGCATTTGTTTTTAACAGAAAACCGGAAGGAGAAATCTCTGGGACTTCTCACTAAGAACTTCCTCAAACTTTTCCTATGCACACCTGTAAGTAAATTCCACAATTACTCTTTCATTCTATAAAATCTTGACTACCCTTTAATTATTTCCTCAATGTTCTTTTAGTCTGATACACTTTCTCTTGAGGACGCTGCAAAAATATTGCTTGGAGATGCTCGGAATCCATCATTGACAAGAAGTAAAAACTCTTGACTATCCTTTCAATTCATTGATACGAAAGAAAATTACTCATTGTAGCTGATGGCATTTTGGTAATTAATCATTGCAGCTAAAGTCAGACGGCTATATGACATTGCTAATGTGTTATCTTCCATGAATTTTATCGAGAAGATTCATCACCCGGAAACCCGAAAGCCAGCCTTTAGGTGGTTGGGTATGAGAAGTCAAAGTCAAAGTCAAACAGATAGCAAAACAGGATTAGTTAATCCGGAATCCAAGAAAAGAGCATTTGGGACTGATCTTACAAATACAAACATTTCCTTCAAAAGAAACAAAACGGTTTTAGATGTAGGTGTGGACCAGGGTGTGAAACTGGGAGTTTCACACTCTGGTTCAGGTTCAGACCGGTTGGGTCTGAAAGATCTAACCGGACTGGTTCAAGGTGAGAGCAAGGAAGTAAAGAAGAGTCAAGATTGGGAAAGTCTAGCATCGACTCATCGTCCACAATATCACAATCAGGGTAGATTTTACATTTTTACTTAATTTGATTAATTATTGGTAATGTACTTTGACTTATAGTTTGACTAATGATGCAGCGTTGAGAGATTTGTTTGTTCATTACATGGATGCATGGAGTTCATGGTATTCTGAGGTTGCTGAAATGGATCCAATAGAAGCGGTTTAGAAGGGCAGATTAGTCAATTCATTGATTGAAAATTGATGAGAAGAGATGGCTAGAAATGGCCATCCTCAAGAGTTGATATAGTACATTGCCATAACTAGAGAGAATGATTTCATGTGGTGTTGTACCTTGTAGTCCAAGCCCTATTTTGGTTTGGTAGTGTTGATACTTGATTGTAGCTTTTATTTTCTTTGAAATCTCAAAAGAAAATTTTATGAAGAAGGGATTTGAAGAATGTGGATAGATGTCCAAGATGCGTCACAAATAAAAAGTTAGTTTGATTGAACCAAATCTTATATCTATATGTGATATGTGATAGAGTGGATGGATTGAACAACGAGTCAAAGGGTAAATTTCACATATATTTGAAATTTTAAAGACAAATTATATAAAAACCACACTAGTTTCAGAATTTCTTGATAAAATCATTCAAATTTAGCCATTGAGATTTTGATTTTTGTTTTAAATACAACCGCTGTAAAGAGTTGTGTTAATTTTATTAAACCGCAGAACCTTGAACTCTAAAAATAACTATAATTTTACACTTTTTTTTTTAGTTTAACCATCTCAAAGATTTTTTTATGACTTTACCATGATAACTTTATTTCTTAAAAAGTCACTTTAATTAGGTACAAGGGGCTTCCCCTTTTATATTGATGATATCAAAAAAATAGTTTGATTACTATTGTAATCAAAAATATTTTTTTATTGAAGAGCTTTTAGTAAAAAACTATAACTAGAACAAAATATTTTTGAAATATTGGGAATCCAAATTGGAGCCAGTTATGTTGGTTCTTAGGAGTTTGGAACAGGTCCTAGAACCATTTATCTGATACTATGTTCCATTTTTTTGCAAAAATTTCTCATTGCAAACCATCAAAATTAACGATTACAACCCTTAAGAATTAAAAGATTGGAAACTACAAAAACAAAATCCTTATGAATTGATAATTACAAATTGTAGATTTTAATCATTACAAACCGTAAAAGCAAACCATTAAAAATTAAAACAAAAATCAACTGAACCAAAATCAATCAACTATTATAACACATCCCTACATTCTTAACCTTTTTAAGGTAAATTTCTTTCAAATAAACCAACTTCTCATGGTTTATTTCATTTGAAATATATCAAGAAAGCTCTTACAGGTTATTGAGATGGAGGTTTGTACCAACCCCAAGGCTGGTCAGAAATATATCGAGTCACCTGCTTCACATTCTGGTAGTTCTCAAGACCCCTGAAAATATATACAAAAAAAAAAAAAAAAAATACAAGTTTGTCTTTGATTGAATATAAAATGTTTTTTTTCTTACAATTTATGAAAAAAAAAAAATTAGTATTGAATTTGAATGTATGGAAGAAGTTTCTAGAATCATCACCGTTCTCCTAGCTCACGACCAAAACCACTCCGCTTTTTCCCACCCCATGGAGCTTGAGAGAAGCATGGTTGCGAGCAGTTGATCCATACAATACCTGCCTCAAAACCCTGTACATATATACATATACTTCATAAGTATATATATATATATATATATATATATATATATATTATATATATATATATATATATATATATATATATGTTATTATTATTATTGAAAAACTAATGATTTATATTATTACCTTTGATACACGCTCACATCTTTCCAAATCTTTGGATATTACAGCAGCACCCAGTCCATAACTGTGAATACATCCATCACAAAATAAATTAAGAAATATAATATAATCCTTGAGTTGAGTTGAGTTAACTTAACTCACTGAGTATCGTTTGCTAATTCAATGGCTTCTTCTTCTGTGGTGAATGTTTTTACACAAAGAACGGGTCCGAAAACTTCCTCTTTCCATATTTCCATGGATCTGGTAACATTAGTAATGATGGCTGGCTCCATATAGAATCCTTTTTTTAAATGCTGTAAATTTAAAAAAATAAAAAATAAAAATAGAGCAATGTTATTTCATCTTATGTGTGGAGACAAAGAAATATACTTTAAAATACCTGAGGACGTTCTCCTCCACATAAAATGGTTGCACCTTCACTTTTGGCTGTTGATACAAAACTTCAATACCTTTTTCATACTGAAATATCAATTAATCAATTAATTCTTTTAATCCGTTTTCAAAAACCCATAAAAGGAATATATATTTATTATTTAAATTATTACCTGTCCAGCACAGCACTAACTATAGGCCCAAGCCTACAACCTTCCTCCAAAGGGTCACAAATCTTTATGTTTTTAGCCCACTTAACAAGCTTCTCTAAAAACTCCTCACTAATACTTTCCTGAAACAAATATCATAATTATTTTATTCCACTTACACTTTCAAAATTCAAATTATTTTACGACTTACATGTACTATAAGCCGAGATGTTGCACTGCATATTTGACCATTCGTCCAGAAGCAACCAAACAGCGTCCACTCAACAGCTGTTTGTATGCCAATCAAGAAAGAAAAAAAAAATTACTTTCTTTTTTTCATTATAATAAAGTACTATCAAATTAACATAAAATCCAGAAACAAGAAACCTTTATCAATGTCCACATCATCAAACACCACTATTGGACTTTTCCCACCTAGTTCAAGTGTAACAGGCTGAAAAGTAACCATTACAAAAATAAAATAACAAGGAAATTAAAAAATGAACTGAAAGTCAGAAACAGAAATCATGGGAAATTGATTAATACCTTAACATTTTGAGCAGCAGCAGTCATGACCTTGCTTCCTGTGGCACTGCTTCCCGTGAATGCAATCTGTAAAAGAATCATTTTTCATCATTTTAATATTTTGGCATAAAAGAGGTGAATAATATCATTTAAAGGAAACAAGAACTAGACCTTGTCAACATTGGGGTGAGCTGCTAATGGTGCACCTGCTTCTTGACCTAATCCAGTCAGAATATTGAGAATACCAGGAGGGAGTCCCACCTCTCTGCATATTTCACCTAATTCCAGACAAGTACTGAAATTGAATAGCAACTCATATCATATACATAAGCAAGAGTAGACAACATTAAAAAATACATAAAGAATCATACTTACAGAGATGCTAATTCTGATGGTTTGAGTATGGCAGCACATCCAGCTGCTAGGGCAGGAGCAACTTTCCAGGTGGCCATCAGCAAAGGGTAATTCCTATAGGTAAAATGAAGGAGATGATTGTTTGAACTTTGCATTACACCTCACTGAATCAGAAGAGAGAGGAAGTATTAAGTATACCATGGAGTAATCAATCCAACAACACCAATAGGTTCCCCTGATAAGATGACACTTAAATGTATCCATTGGAAGAGCAACAGATGCATTTTGTTTTCTATCCAACTCTTCAGCAAGGTCAGCACTGTACTCAAAGCATCCAGCAACATCATCCTAAATGATTAAATGCCATATATTAGCAAGTTAGTTCATTAACGAACCTAGTGATGTCATTATATGCAATTAACATACCATATCCCAAGCTGCTTCTTCAAGTGGTTTGCCACAATCGATGGCTTCAAGTTTTGCCAATTCAGATTTTTTCTCCACTATCTGTATATAGAACTTATGAATTTGAGACAAAGAAGATGAAGTAACGCCTTGTTCCCGAGTTCTACTTAAGGAGGGAAATGGGAGGATACGGAGGGAAAGTGAGGGGTGTCGAAGGAAAATCGTGTTCCCGAGTTTCATTAATGGAAGGAAAGTGAGGGGAGGGGAAGGATTTTGGAGTCATATTTTCCTTCCAAATTTTCCTCTCAAATTGGGCGGATTTGGGAAGAAAGTGAGGGGAAGGAAAATTTCATGTTTTATTTTCTTTTTCCTCCTAACTCGGGAACACAAAAACTTAAAATTTTCCTATCATTTCTTTTCATTTCCTTCGAACTCGGGAACAAGGTATAACGAATATTTTCCTTCCCCTCCCTTTCTTTCTTTAGGTCAAAATTTTCCTTCCCTTTCCTTTAATGAATTTACAAAAAAACTGGGGAACAAGGCGTAACAGATAACCCCACACACACACACCTACACCTTTGAAGCAATAGCACGCAAATACTTGGCACGATGAGCTCCTGATGCTGATGCCCACTCTTTCCCTCCATTACGTTTAAGAGCTTTGTGAGCAGCATCCACAGCAACGCTAACATCTTCTTCTGTAGCAGCTGGAATATCCCCTGAACACAATATTTCGAACATAACCAAGTTAACATACAAAAACCCTAACAACTTACACAGCCATGAAATCAATAACAGATGTGTAAATCGCAAAAACATAATTATTTGGAGAAATGAGACCAGAAAGAACATTTAGAAATCTGTGAGCTGCATACAATATGCACAATACATAATTACATATGCATAATCCGCGAATTTATAACTTTTAATTTTTTGGAAAAATTAAACCAGAATAAACATCCAGAAGCAAGTGAATGTAAACTGCAATGATTAGAAAGCAGGATACAGATCTATAATCTGACAACTTCCAGTGTGAGTGTTTGGAGTGGCGGGACTAGGAACTAGGAAGAGGAGAATAGGTGTACCAAATTACCAATGATCTGCTCGGTGGCTGGATTGATGACGGGGATGCGGTTCTTCCTAACAGGTTCTCTCCACTCGCCATCGATGAATAACTGACGTGATGGTATTAGGATCGACATGCCAGATATACGGCTGATCGATTAAAGTGTGTCGGAGAGTTCGACGACTGAGCTGTGGTTGAATGACACTAGTTAACGGCGGAATAAAAACACAACGACGGATGTGAAGAAGGTCTCAGAAACGAGTAGGCAGAGTGTAAAAATCGACTGTGTTGACTGTGTTCCGATGCAAGTCCACGGTAGGGGAATCGAACCCCGTGCCTCTCGCATGCGAAGCCAGCGCTCTACCATATGAGCTACACCCACATATTGTTAGTTATTTTCCCGTAATCTTTAATATATATATTCAAACAATATTCAGTTATATCATCTACTTGTTTGTTGAATATTATATAGTTATATAATTTAGAGAGATTTTTTTTTACTGAATAACCGAACCGAAACTAGATCCTAACCAAATAAGTTACGCGGTTCGGTTTTTAGTTTTCTATTTTGGGCTTATTAGGTTATCGAGTATTTTGGTAAGGTTTACCCAAATAAATGCTTAATCGACTCTAAATGAACCGACAGAATAATCTATCATAAGGTTTTTCAATTTACTCTTATCACAAGGTATACGTACTTACTAAATAACGGAAATACAAATAATTATTATACACAATAAAAGTCGTTGTGTCGTTGCGTCTTATGAACATAAACAAGTATTGAGCCGGCTCCAAAACTAGGTGGTTTGTAGCCGGCGGGATTTGAAGTCATCGTTCTTATCTTCCAATGCATGTATTCCGGTTGTTGCAATAGCTTTCCTCCATCTATGTAACACATGCTTTTCTTCAATAAACCCATATATTGAAAGTATCATCATACTTTCCATCTCTCTCTACAATTGCTTCACACCACCACCCATCAGTGTTGCCGATGGTTTGCCGCGTACTTCGTAATCGACCGATATGAGCAACTTTTTCTTGGGGATTTATTGCATAAAGCACACTATCTAAAAGTAGCGGAATAATCAAAAGATTTACCTAAGTGCATATGTATCCATGAATCTAGGTTTTACTAGTTTAAGCAACATACTTTAAAACCAAAATAAAAGAATAGAACACTTACATCTTGATCCTTAGATCATGTGATTGACAACTTTTTCAATGGACATAGAGCCCAAAGTAGAACTCCTCTAATACAGTCAGACCCAAGACTCCAGAAGCGAACAGGGAACAAACCCTATTGGGGTTTATGCGAAATTCACCAACCTTATGAGAGTTATGAATTTTGTCCATATTGAGAGAGAGGGGGGGGGGGGGGAGAAAAACAAAAATTTAAAGGAAAGATCATCTAACAGATAAATCCTCAAGAGATTCAAACTCTTAGGGTTTATCTTTTCATTATCTGAAAGCTACTTTATCCCCTATCTGGGTGTCACAACTAGCATTCTAGCTAGGAAATTCTGTACTCTTGTAAACATTATCTACTGTAAACTCGTAAACCCTAATTCATGTTATGCTTGAAATTCAACCCACTTTCATGAAACTTAACTTTTGGGCCATAATGGGCCTAAAATGGATTGGTTTATCTTAATGGGCCTTGTTGGGCCATAACAAATCCAATAAGCCCTAATGGGCCGTAAAACTCATTCTTTTATGCAATTTGGGCCGTAAACTACCCTAAGGGTCCAATGGGCCGAAACACCATCAATTTGGGCTTCATATTATGGACTCTAGCATAAAAGGCCCAAGCCTTTCTTTCCCTTCTCTCTCTCTCGGCCCAACTACAAAAAAATGGGAGAAGAGTTGACTTTTAATGGTGCCACCTCATAAATATACATAGGGTATCCATGCATTATTCTCATGTTTCCATGCATGTCAACTCATCCCACTCTCTCCCCTCTCCCCTCTTCTTGTTTCGGCCGAAGACACACAACACACACACACACTACACAAAAATTCTCTCCATTTCTCTCTAAGGCCATCTCCTTCCTTCCTTCAAGGAATTCTCGAAAATTTGGCTTGGATTCAAGAGTCTTCATCAAGTGTTGTCAATCTTTGGTAAGTCTTTACACATCCAAGCTTCATAACTTCACTCTCTTGTTAGATCATTCCTTTACACAAAGTTTTTGGTGTTTATACTCTTAGAAATCTTCTTGAGTTCGAGATCTACTCAAGGAAGTTGCTAGGACCAAACTCTTCCATTTCCTTTCTTCAAAACAGAACCCACAAACCTCTACCCCTCTATTTTTTGGTTTTCATATGATTTATGGGGGAGAATACAAGTAAAATGTGAAAGATCTATGTGTATTTGTGTGTTATGTGTGATTTCTTGTGTTTGGTGGTAAATATGTGCTAAAAATGAAAGATATTTCGAGATCTATAGTTCAAGAAGGAAAAATATGTGATCTAGGTCTTATTTCACTTAACATGTCAAGATAAACTACTATACAAGCTCTAAAATAACACACTACAACATAAAACTTATTATTGGACTATTTTTGTCAAATAAACAAAAGTTTGGGAAAAAGTTGTCATTTACGGTTTTTACAAGGCTCAAAAATGTCAAAACAGTTAAAATGAAAGTTTCTATGAACATCATGTTTTTCAAAGGACTAAAAATGAAATTTGTAGCTTATTGGACTTTTCGACCCAAAGGCCCAAAGTTGCGAAAAATATGGTTTTAAGGGGGCTGAAATGGTAAATTTCTCAAAACAGTGGGTAGAAAAGTAAATAAATCTATTTCTGGGGTTAAAATGACTTTAATTGCTAAAAAGGATTGAAAATGCAAAGATTTTGGATTTTGGGTAAAAAGTGTAAAAATTGCGAAAAAGGTGGATTAAAATGCAAGTATTTTAACTAAAGGGTTGAAACTTTCTGAAAATTTACTTTTGGGCTTAAAACATTATTTAAATAAGTGTTTGGGTCAAAAAGGTCAAGAAAAATAGTTCAAGGATCTAATATGTCATTTTTTTTATAAAAAGGACTAAATTGCCAACTTGACAAAATAAGGGGCTGAATAGGTCAAACAAATGTTTTTGGTCAATTATGTTAATAATAAAATAATTGGGTCAAAATATGCAAAACTTTATAACTTATGGGTTTTAAATAGAAAAATAACTATTTTTATAAATCTATGAATCGTTATAAAACAAATTTGTGATTTTTACGACATATCGATTAAACAACTCGCAGCATTAATACTACACAAAATAAGTAAACATTCTAATGGTTGGGCTTGAGAGATTCTAATCATGCTTAATGGGCCTTCGTGACTCATTAACATGACTTTTGGGCCCAACATAAATAATACATGTTATTGGGCCTCCTGTGACCCAATTACATGCTTAAGGGACCCTCAATGGTTTTTACATGCTATTGGGCCTCAGTGGCCCATTAGCATTACTAGTAAGGTCCAAATATATCATATGCGAAATGGGCCAACGCACTTTTCGTATACTCGACAGCCTAAATAACATACGAAATTAGTAGGGCCTAGTAGTCCTCTTCTCCTCGTCTGTTAGGCTTATCCTCTCTTCAAGTAAACTAAAATCAGGTCATTAATCAAGGTTAATCAAATTCATGTGGATTAAGTGAGTAATAACGGGTGACACCAATAAGTGTCGGTCGTAGTCTGTAGTTGTAATCAAAGTCTCCTGGAGGGAGAGCGAGAGTTTGTGTATAGATCTATACGGGGGTGACTCCCCCACACCTAAGCTGTTCGCTACAGTTAGACTCGGCCAGTCTAGGGTGAAAAAATCTTAAGATCAAATTTCGGTGTTCATTAGAATGTCAAGACAGACGAACTAGTCATTATCATGCATGGTTATAACGACTCACGTAGAAATCCAATATCATTAATAAAGGGAAATCATAATTCATTCGATGTGGCGATACAATAATGTAAAACAATCATAACTTTTTATCGGAAAACATTGGGTTTTCCGGGGAAACCAATCTTACTCATTTGTACTTCAAAAACTATAATGTAAAACTTCTCATTTATTCACGTTTTGAAATCATTCACGCATATACTTACAGGATCATCACAACATTTTTCAAGAAAAGTCTTAATACAGAAAATATCGGATTTTCTGGGTTTTTACGAATGACATAAACTACTTTACATCAAACACACTTATGAACTCACCAACATTATATATGTTGACCGTTTTCAAAATAACTTGTATTCTCAGGTAATCGTTAGACAAGGAAGCCTCCAGTGTGTTGAAAGTTTCTTTTGTAGTTGCTAATCACCAAACACTTTATATTTTGAAATCATGTAATGTAAACCTTGTACTTGATGTAAACAATGCCAGTTGTACTATGTAATGTTTGGTGATGAATGTGTTATGTTTCATGTATACTCATTGTGATGATATTTCAATTTTAGTCACGCGAGCCCTCGGACGTTTCCGCCGTCTGGTTCGGGGGTGTGACACTGGGATATAGTTAAAATCATCCACCTCCTCTTTCTGGATGGTTCTAGAAAATTTCAATTAATTCCAAGGATTTAATTAAAATTCAACCCATTTAATTAATTAGAACTATTTAATTAATTACCAAAATAATTTCTAGTTAATTTATTAATTCCTTAATAAATTAACAACTTATTTTCTCCATTTCCTTAATGTTATTTGTGTCGCGAGGCCAACCCAAAAGGACTTTATTATTATCCAGAAATTTACCAACTAGTTAATGTATTTCCAATAGTCTCGCACGTAATAAGTCGTTAACTTTGTAAGGTCTTAATACTTCTCAAATAACTAACAAAGAGTTAATCATTTAATGCAACTGCCAAACACTTGATCTTAATTAGGTTTAGAACTTAGATAAGTGACCCGTTATTCCTTTTTCTAGATATCTGTATGAACTTGAGACATGGATAATGTACAATCGTAGAGTTCAAAAATTTGTTTCCCGATAAAGATTTCTGACAATCACATCTGATTTCTAAATTGAACAAATCAATTTAGTCAGGACCCGGCCAGGTACATCCGATGTCGGTACGAAATCATCATGGGGCCCAAGGATATCTCTTCTCCTATTAAGGAAGAAGTAACAAATAAACTTTGACTACATAATTTTTGTCTACTAGTCTAATCATACATGGACATACTCTTTATGACTACTAGTTACAGATAGCGTTGGAGTACACTTATGCACAACAGATTTTGTAAGCAAAACCCCATATGCATCTTGGTTTGAAGATAAATGATGTTATCTTCTTAGAATTACCCATGACAAGATCCATAAAATAATCTCTAAGTGCGGGTTGTTCCAATACTTAAAATCCTCATTTCAAGTACTCATGCAG